AGACGGCAACGAACGAAATATATAAATATAAAAGCAAACCAAGGTATGAAAAAACTAACAAAAAAAAAAAGAAATAAAACGAAATAAAACTTTAAAATGAAATGCAAACTAAGGCGATACTTTCAACACGGAAAGAAAATTTAGCTTTGGATCAGACATGCAAATAATTTGCACACAAATTTTCTTATACTTTACGAGTAAGCATCTAAAAATAAATATCAAAAACAATGTGTTATTTTATGCAGCTCTGCTTGGATGTCATTAAAGTAACATGAAATTCCACAAATTTTTATGCGACATTTGGAACTTTTGTAAAACCGATATATAAATATTTATGAGGAAAAAGTCTTTGTTAGTTTTTTTAATTATATCTCTAGACAAAACATAAGATATTTGAAACCTCGCTAAAGAGATTTCTGTTTTCGAAAAAATTTGGGAGAATGAGATTTCTGTGGAACCCCTGATAATAACGGTTTAGAATTTGATAACATTATTGAAGTAGAAACATAGCTTTGGAAGCTACTTATAAAAATTGGCATTAAACAATTAATGTTTTGGAAACAAGATTTATTTGGAATGGATGGTGAAAATTAATTTGGTCGCAGACTAACAGATATTAACTTAATCTGTTTGGGAATTAAACAATTTCTAAAACGAATTGATCATATTTTCTTTGTCATACTTTTAGAAGTATAATATATGATTAATTGCAAGAAATAGTTCACATTCCTTGCTGGAGATATAATATATTTTAATTAATATTTTGGCTCAGCAGGAAAATGATTTCAATATTTAACTGAAGAAGGGTATTAAGATATTGCCCTTAAAACATCTGAAGCAAAGTTATTGGCATCTACTAGATTGAAAATTGGTCCTCCCTTATAGATAAATAGAAGATTGCAGTATGGAATGGCATGTGAGAAGGCGAATGTGCGTGGGCGCCAAACTTGCACTCCAACTGCTTAAGAAGATGTGCAGCAGAAGTTGGGCTTGGTAGTTTCATCTGCAGTTGAAGATGGGCAGCAGGAGGTGGGTCTGACAGTATCGGCAGCTTCCGAAGCTGCGATCTGTCGCGCCTCCTGTCTATGCCTGCTTGCTGCTCATTAAAGCAAAATGCAATTTGCTGCCATAATTTGCAACAATTTGCATACTACGTGCCGCGGCAACAGGAACAGGGAAAGCATGGCTGTACGTTGAAGGAAGTGGAAAAGGAAGCGAGAGAGGAAGAGGCGGAGATGGAGGTGGAGACGGAGACGCGGCAGCAGGCTCAACTTGGAGTTTCTGGGCGCCAACTGCCGCCAAGTGCTGCATGCCGCCATTTTAATTGCTTGAAAGCAGTCACGGCCATACAGCAGCGCCATTTTTTAAATTTGTGTTAATTGGAAAAAATGTATCCGTAGGTGGAAATGCATGCATACTCGTACTCGTACTCGTACATATATAACACCCATTTATATTAAATAGGCCAATTTTTCATATCGTTTTTTCACTCTCACTCTTTTTTAAGCACAGAATGCAATTGTTGCCGTCTGGCACCAAAAATTTATTATGCATAAAATTTCCACTGAAAGTCTAATAAAATATGTATTGAAAGTTGCATTGTTTGCCAACACATGCACATTGCTGCACACATACACAAACAAACGCACACAAACAAACTCTGGCTATATTTGCAAAGAGAGGGAGCTCAGAGCTTTATGCGCTGCGAGCATTTTTTGTTTAAATTGAATTCTCCTTTTTTTTGGCTTTTTATTGCATTTACCTAAATATAGTTCTTTTTTGCTGTTGCTTATATTGTGTTGGCCACGTTTGTTGAGCAAAGAAGGAAAAAACAAACCCAACTTTATATGAACGTTTTACTTTTTTTCAACGCCTGCCTTTGTTCATATTTTTCCCAAACTATGTGCGTGTGTGTATGGGCTTATGTGTGTGTGGGTGCGTTGCCGTTTTTTTATTTATTTATTTTTTTTTTGTTTTATTTTAATAGACTTACTCGTAGTTGTGGCAGAGTATGGACCGTACATATAACCTGAATATATGTAGCTACGACTCACATTCTCTAGTCCATGGCCATGGCTCTGGCTCTGGCTTTGCAAATATCCAGCGGCGAGCTCACAAATAAACTTACACACGCACGCACACACACTAATACGTGCATATATACGATTTTGCCGCAATTCTGCCTAGTGGATTTTGTGATTTGGATTTGCTTTTGTAGGCCGCAAGCCACTCGTATTAGAGCTCTGCCAGGCGAACTCAAAGGGGAATTTTATTTAAAATGCTGTTGACTGAAATACAACTGTGCCCCGGGACATGAATCTTAATGAGTTCTAGGACTGCCACAAAATTAATAAAATGAATGATTGATTTCTTCTTCAATTGACTGTCCAGATAGTAGTGAGAGCACTACACTACTAATATGTTTTCTAGCGTGTTTGGAGCTTGTGATTGGCTGTAGGGATCGAAATGGGCGATATGCCAATAGAAATTTATTGCAACAGTACTAGCATTTGTATTCACATTTTACAAAATTCAAAAATATTAATTTATAACACGGCTTAAACAACCGCGTCGATATGTTGCACGTTGGACAGACGAAAAACTTACATGTAGATAGTATAATTAAGAGATCTAATTATTTCGACACAAAACTGACATCAGAAATCGTCTGAGTAGCAGATTTTTTTCATTTTTCGGCCTAAATGTATTTTTTAAGTTTTGGGAATTGCAAGCATACTTTAGGTCCTCTCCCCTGGTCGGATGTTTTTTATATTGATATATAATTTCAATAATTACATTGCTTTTCTATCTTCGTACTTCCCTCGAGACTAGTGCAGAAATGAAGGAGGAGATAAAACACTCATATGGGGGCTTTAAAATGTAAATCTCAATTCAAATTAGATCCAGTCTGCCAAACACAGTAATCATTGGTGTGAACAGATCGAAAGTACAAATATCGGACGTGCTGTTTCTCATGAATAAATTCCTAACATGCGGATCTTTAATGCACACGCATTTAAATATCTAGCGCTTGGCTCAATTGATGTTATGACGACGCCGATTTCGAGTCAACAAACGCCGGTAACGGCACTCTGCAGCCCTCAAAGAAATAATCAACAAAAGAAAAGCATAGCATGCCCCTCCCTTGCGGCTTGTCGCCAGCTTCCGCGTAGTCATAGGAGCCGTGAGAAAATTGTTTTAGGCCAAGGCGCAAAGAAAATAGGTTAACTAGATTTGCGCTTTGACAAGACGTAATGAAATCGCCGATAAAAGCGTCTTGAAAACTGAGCATTTCTCCAAGTGTAATTTGTTTATCCGCGAAGTATACATACTTATAATTTAACAGTTGCGTTGCAGTACTATTTGCAGTAAATGAGATATTTTTTTTAAAGAAGATATACAAACTAAGGCTGTTACTTTAGTTCATATTTGTTATGGTTTTGATATGAAAAAGATTTTCTGCCAAAAAAAACCTTTTTAAGCATTTTATAATACACATTTTAATTAAAATGTCTTTCAATTTTCGACAGTTTTATCAACATTTAATATAACATTTAATAATAAAATAGTTTGCGAGTTTTTGCAAGCTGTTTTCCAGTTGATTTTATGAACTATTGAAATATTTTGGAAACAATTTCAATTTTTATGGAGCGTCAAAATAGAGAAGGCAAACTGTATTGTTTTCCGGCAGAGTAGCTCATTCAATTTTTTTATTAAAGTGTACAAAATTAATCGAATCAAAAATTCAAAAAATATCCCATATTAAGACAATAATCAGTTTATTAAAATGCAGATAATTCTATTAGTTAGAATATTATGAACACATATTTTTTTTATTCGATGAAAATAATCTGATTAGCCTGATTTCCATCAATTAATTGGAAATTGGAAATTAAAAATTTGAATTATCCGACAAAGTCATTGCTCTGCTGATGACAAACTAATGGGATAAACGAGTTAATTTTAACCAACACATTGGATATGTGAGATTATACTCGTATTTAAATGCGAAATGCTTGCAGCGTTTTGCATCTCGTATGAAGCAGAAGCTTGTTTTTATTGTGACTAAACAACCTATTAATAATTAATTGGCAGCTTTATTCGTTGCGGCTATAATTTCGTTTGAAGCTCTCGTTTCACATTTCCACACATTCGAAGAAAAAACTGAGATCAAATTTTGGTGCAAATATTCACTTTAAAGTTTTTGAAATCACAATTGTAATCAAAACTAATAAATAATTAATAATAGTTGAACATTTTTAGCTCTTAGACGAAAGTAATAATCTTTAAAATTTAAAATGTTTAGAGATAATTTATAATTATATTTGAGATAGGAAACCATTTCCATACGAAAATATAAACACAAATGATCGATATTAAGATTTGTTCTGCCTTTTTAAATAAAACCAAACTAGCCACTCTAAGTTAAGGGAAGAGTTAGAAGAGATTGAATAAAGCAGCAGTAAATAAAGGTGTAACACAATGATGAATAAAACTGCGTATATCTTCTTAATATATTATAAATTTGATTAAATTCTTGGAAATATCGAAAAAGTTAATTTCTGATTATTAAGAAATGATTTCATGTTTCTTCATAACAATAAAGAGGGCTTCACTTCAACAATAGCTATTTATCTAACGACTACCAATTTTCATTTTGCTCTTCATCGTCAAGTTTTCACAACGACTGAACTCTTGTGAGATACTCGTATATGCAGGAAAAGATGCAAGACTAGCTAGTTTTACCACTTCTCTAACATAATAAAATTGTTTTAAGCAAAACGTGCCTACTACTATTCTCGTAGTATATATACTGAGAAGTATTCTTTGCTTCGTACTCTTCCCCTTATGAATTGCGTTTGAAAAAGCAGCTGCAGCATAAAGAGTTGGCAAAAGTTTCTCATCGAGCAACAAACAACAACAAGTCGAAGTCATATAAGTCAAACAGAAAGTTTTAAAGCTAACATACAGCTGCAAATCAAGGAGACCAAAGAACTTACCCCAGCAAGCAATCCGGATCCGTCCGTTTTCGGGTCCACAGTCCGCCGTGCTAATCCAAATGCAGTTGCAGTTCACAAAGTTTTGGTGCGCACTGAGTTAAATTTATGTTTTTCCTTCTATCAGTGCACACAAAGAAAAGTGAGCAAAAAATTCAACAACAACAACCACTAAATTGAGGGAAAACTTCTGGTAGTTATTGTTCTAATGCACAAACAATGGGTCGTCGAAGCGTGGACTCGGTCGAGGTCTTAATAAACAATTTGTTTCTCAGTGCACTTTCACTCTTTCGAGCGGATGACCAGACCTAGACGATTATAAAGTTGTTGTTGGTGATGACGACGATGGAACAATTGTGATAAATTGTGGCAATATCTGTGGCACGCGACTGATTCGATCACATACACTTCTTTATTACACACACACACATCAACACGCGCATAAAGTTGACATCGAAACGCGATCAGAGCGCCGTTATATTGTATCTCTATCTCGTTCTGCTGTTTTTATGCGTTTTTCAGCACTTTGGCTGCCTTGGACACTTAATGTGCGAAAATCTGCCTCTTTGTTGTAAGTGAAGTTGTTGTTTTTATTACGATTTCTGTTGTTGTCGTGCTGCTGTTAATAATTGATGACCAACAAGCACGCACTATCGCCGGTTACTCCAGGGGGTGCTCTCTAGAGCTGTGCTGTTTACTTTTTGGTATTCATTGTCTTTGTCGTCCGTTTTTGATTGTTTTCTTCTTTTCCTGTTTTTTCTTTTTTTTTTTTTTGCTCTCAAGCGCCCACCCGCAATGTTAATAAGCTTGCATGACACGCGTTTAAAGTTCCATATGAATCATTTGCCTGCGGAGTTAAAGATTCGTTTTTATGTCTATCTACCGAACTGTGCCTTTTTTATGTTATTTCCTGCAATTCACTTTTATTTTTCAGACCAGGCAGCAAACAACAAAAAGTTGTTGTTTCTCGCTGTTTTTCGCACACTTGGCCTTTTGTCTGCAGAGCCAAAAGAAAATGTTCAATTTGGTTTTTATTTCTTTTGCTTACTTTGACAGCTGTTGTTGTTGCTGTTGTTGCTGCTGCTTATAATCCGCTTTCGGCCCGAAATTTCAATTCTTATTTGATTTTTGTGCACAGCTTTTTGTTTTGCCTTCTTTTTTGCAGGGCCCTGTGTTTTGATATTCGGCGTATGTTTATTTTTATGCGAAATTACAATGGAGAAGTTGACACAAACAACAACAACAAGAGCATTGAGGGCGAGGACGACAGTCGACAGTCTCTTTGGTCTTTTCCTAACAAATCACACGCACTACGCACAACACACAACACACGGCACAAGTCGCTGAACGGGATGCTGCGGCGCGTTTAGAGGGAACAGGAACAGGAGCGGGGGCGTCGCAGTCACAGTCACAGTCACGCACACCTTCTTGCCAAAAGTTACGGCACGCACTCACACACACACACTCTCTGGGAGCTCACTTAGCGCTGGGTGCTGGCTGCTGGGCGCCAGCATCCACTTGGCAGCCAAATCGTTGTCGTTGTCGTTGTCGCTGTAGCTGCCGACGTCGACGTCGCAGTCACGCACTTTTCACCCAGTTGTCGGCTGCAACGTTTGGCTAATTAGACGAGTAAATTCCAAGCACATTTACGATTTGTTTAATTTTTTTGTTTTTGTTTAAAACGCTATTGTTGTTATTGTTGTTTCTGCTGAGGCGCGGCTGCTGTGCAGTTTGCGTAGGAAGCAGCACAGAAAGCAGACGACACATAGAACGCGAGCGTCAATAAAAACACACCCGCACGACAAACCAAACGCAGCGAGACACGAATAAGAACTAAACTGCTGCTGCTCAGCTGCGATAGCGCGAGGGCCGAAGGCGCGCCCGCTCGCAGAACACTTCGTGCACGTTCGGCAATTCTCCGAAATAGATGTTGCCAAGCGCTGCGGCAACATGTTGCAGCTCTAAATAGCATGTGGACGTGACCTTTGGCAACTTCTTGGCCGCCTTTTTGCAGCCAATTAATAGACAGTCAAAGCGAATTTTTCGGGATATGCCTATGGCTATAGTACAACTCTGTATATGTATAAGTATTGTCCGTACGTTGTGTGATTTATGACATAGACTCATAAATCTGGCTCGTTGCTTGCGCTCGTGTGCCGGGCATAAACAAAACATGCATAATTTCCATAAATCTTTTATGCGCAGCCCGGCGGGCATCGTCGCATTTTTGCAATAGCGCCAGCACCAACACCAACACCGGCAGCGACAGGAGCAGATTTAGATGATGAGTGTAAAAACTTACTAGGCCGGCCAATTATGCGCCTAAAAACAGGCACTAATTTGACAGAAAAGTGGGTAAAAGACCATCCTGTCGGGTCATTCAACTAGCGCCTGCTCCTGCGCTTGACCACACAACTGAGTATCTCTTCCCGACTCAGACTAAAAGTGAAAACACAATTTTCCTCAGATACATTGAATAAAGGCAGTTGCATGGCTTCTACTACAAGTATAGATGAAAATTTAATTTATTGCCCACTATGGAATTAATTAAAAAGAGACAATATAAGTCGAAGAACATTTTTAAAAGGTTGAATTGAATTGAATTGAATTTTTTCTAATAGTGGTAGATAGGCTTGTAACATAAAATTAAAATATTAAAATATTTTCTGAGGACAAACATTTCAACTAAATCGATTAATCCAATTCAATTGTATAATGTTGTATTAAATGAATTAGTGTTTCTCTTCATATTGTTAACATTATTTTATTTATTTTATTTATTTATTGTTAATTACTTCCTAGCGCAACAAGTAGAGTTACTTATATGTTATAGCACTAGTCACATAAAGAGTTTTACATATGTACTAAACTAGTTAGTTTATAAAGAGATTATAATAAAATTTGAGACAGAGAATTAAAATAAGTTTAATAAAATTTATATTTTTCTTAAAACTAAATTACATTGTAAAATGATTGTATATGTCATGCTTGTTATCGTGACAGTTTATTAATGCTAATTTTGAAGATATTTTTTTAGATTACTTCGAAATTGAGTAGCGTTTCTGATGTTTTTTATGTGTGTTGGTAGTCCATTCCAAATGCGAACAGCATATATGAAAAATTGTCTGTCGGATAAAAGAAGCCTGTGGCGCTGACATACTAAGTTATGAGTTCTTAGAGATGTGGAAAATTTAATTCTTTGATACAGGTATGCTGGTTCCTTAGTATTTATCAATTTTTGTAGACATAATAAAACTCGAAAGTTTATCCAAGACATGATACTTAAGTTCAAAAGTTGGTATGCATAGCTGGTGACATGATCAGAGCGTCTTAGACCGAAAACATAACGAGCGACACTATTGTAAGCGACTTTTAGTTTTCGGAATGAAATTGCGTCACAATTTGCATATACCTCAACACCATAAGATAGCATTGGAAGTATGAATGTTTTCGCTATCATCATTCGCAGATTTACAGGTAGGAATTGCTGAGTCAAGTTCAGAAGTCTTAACGCACCATAAACCTTACCAACAGCCTTATTTATATGATTGTTCCATGTCAAGCTCCTGTTGAAGCAGAAGCCTAAGTTATTAGCTTGATCGACATATTCAATCGGAGTGTCTCCAATCACAAGGGAGTTGAAGTTTGAAGTGTTTAGTTGGTTTTTATAGATTACTAGGCATTTAGATTTAGTGGGATTGAGTTTTAACCCATTGTTTTTAGCCCAGTCAGAGATTTTACCTAGTTCACCATTACTAACACTTATACACTCATTTAATTTAGTAACAGGACGACTAACATACATTTGAACATCATCAGCATACAGGTGGACTTTACTGTTAGACAAGACATAAGGGAGGTCATTCACGTACAAGGTGAACAATAGTGGACCAAGAACAGATCCCTGTGGAACACCGCGACTAACAGGTAACAACGAAGAATGATCAGACGATATTACAACAACTTGACGCCTATTGGACAAATAAGAATGTATAAAAGTTGTTGCCGTTTTTGAGAAGTAATACATTCTATTAAGTTTAGTGCACATTATTTCATGATTAACACAATCAAATGCCTTACTGAAGTCGAGTAAGCTTAAAAAAGTAACACAGCCAGTATCCATTTGACTGCGAATATCCTCAACCACATTTAGGACAGCTGTGGTACAACTTCTGTGCTTTCTGAAACCAGATTGGTCATCGCATAAGAGAAGGTTTTTGTTTAGAAAGTCACTAATCTGGTTTGCTATTAGATTCTCGAAAACTTTTGAGAGATAAGGAAGAATAGCAATAGGACGGTATTCATTGTTAGTCTTAGAAATAGGACAGATTTTTGACATTTTCCACTTATCAGGAAAGCAGGAAGTCATAATTGATGTGTTAAAAATGTGTGTAATATGTGCTAAGACTTTAGGTAAAATCATTTTGATGAATTTTGGGTGTAGGTCATCAAATCCGACCGCGTTTGACTTAACTTTAAGAACTGATTCTAGGACATCACATTGACTGACACAACGAAAGCTAAAACTACTATCACAGGTTACATTAGGTACAGCGTTTACATATGTATTATGCGTAATGACAGGTACTTCAATTTGTACAAATTTATTATTTAATTCATTCACGTCAACATCGGAGGGAAGAAATGATTTCGTTTTACCAATACCCATTCTACGAAGCTTATTCCACGTCTGATTGCTTGAAATCGCATTGCTAAATTGTGAAGTATGATAAGCTCGTTTGGCAGCATTTATCAAGCAAGATGCTTGCTTTCTGAGGTATTTGAACTTAGAATAGTGATAATCAGATTTATATCTTTTCCACTTTTCATATGCATCATTACGTTTTTTAATGGCAAGTCTAATTGTGTCATTAAACCAAGGTTCTTGTGTGGGTCTAACGATTTTCGTTCGTAGTGGTACGAATTTGTGGTAGAGGTAGCTTATTTTGTGTTCGAATTGTTGCAGTTGAGAATCGACCGTGGGTAACCGGTAAATATCGTCCCAATCAAGTAAAGAAAATTCGTCATTTAGCTGTGCAATGTCAATATTCTTAAAATCTCTATAATCTATTTTATGGTCAGTTTTATCAATAAAAGTGTCAAGTGTCAAGAAGATAAGGTCATGTTTAGAGAACACAGGTACAGAAAGTTGGTCGTATAGTAAGATTTTCTTTAAATTATTAATAAAAAAAAGGTCAAGTAATGTGTTAGAGGTTTGTGAGAAATGTGTTGGTTGTGTTGCATTAACAATTTTCATGCCTAATGCCTCTATATCATCAACTAGACGAGCGTCACACAGAGCATTGGAATTGAAATCACCCGTTAGAATTACGTCTTCATAGTTCATTGAGATGTCAGAAAATATACTGATCAGATCAGTGTAGTTTGTGTTGCGGTGAGGTCGATAAATGCAGCCAATTAAGATGTTTCGGCAGTTTTTTAGGTGATATAGTGAGATAAAAAGGTATTCAATTGCACACCCCTCAGGTTGTTTGCATATAATTCTGGCTTTGATTTTCTTACTTACATATATTGCAACTCCGCCCGCATGGCCTGCACGATCAGATCGGAAAACATTAAATCCATCACAATTAATCAACGAACTACACATGTCAGACATAAACCAAGTTTCAGACACACATATAACATCAACCTTGGAATTTACAAACATATTCCTAAATTCTTCTATCTTGTTCGTTAGGCTTTGCGCATTGATATGACAAATATGTAAGCCTGGCTTTCGGTTGCAAAGAACTTTTAGCATTGTATGGCTGCTCGCATCTAAACTACTATTACTAATTTGCATATTTAAGTATTTGAAGTCGTTTCAGAAACGCACTCGAAGTATACGATGTAAAATATAAATAGAAAGAATAGATTAATTTAAAACAAGCATGACAGTTACTACTACAAATAACAATGTTAAAATTAAAGCATAACAGAAGTTTCTTAAGTGCGAAAGTTACTATTGCTAAGGTGTTCCCCTAAAGCTCCAACGCCGTCCGTCTCAGCCGATGGCACGGCAAGGGGGGTTAAAGCTTTTATGCAGTTATTCTGCAGTGCCAAGAGCGTTTGCATGCCATCAACACGAACAACTGTATCGCAAGTAGGTGTTTTAACATGCACTAATGCGCGGCGAGTAAATACTGATAAGAGCAACTTCTGTCTCTTCATTTTCATTGCCTCTTTAAAAATATCATAATTTCGTTTGCTTAGTTGCTCATTTATGTAAATTGGGGTTGGCGAGTCAAAACCTAGGAGCAGCAAGTTTAGTTGT